GCGAGGTGGTAGTACCAGCTAAAGAAATTCCGCGAAGGACCGGATTCGTCTTCGACGTACGCAGGAAAGGTTCCAACGCAAGAACGTACAGCAATGGAGACAGCGGACATCCTTGACGAATGGAGCGAAACAAAATGAAAGGTTTCGATCTTACCCCATTCACTTCTAACAGGGCACTTGGGGACGCATACAGCAGGTGGATCCAAGTGCGAAAGTCCGGCCAAAAGAACAGCCTCCAGAAACCGATGGTCAACCCTATCGAAAGACTTGGACTGATCTAAATTGATCAGCGCGGCATCACTGTCGACTTTCTCGATGATCAAGCGTACCAAATGAAGGTTGTCTTGAATAGTCCTGCCCTTCACGGCACAAGTCTGCTCGGGACCAATCAGACTAGAGAGGACAGCCTGCAAACGGCCGGCTAACACCTTGGCTAAAATCTTCAACTCTGTATTTAACATCTTCAAAGGCCGATAATTATCTAGCCCATCCCCACCGTCTTTGTTCTTGCGGAGCAACATGATTACACCCCTGGTGAAGCGTTGAGGTATAGACTCCTGCTTCATCCAGTTGTTGAAAATCAGTGCCAGCAAGAGGTCAAAGACGGGCGACTGCCTTAAGTACATTTCGTACGGAAGGCAATCTAATCCCGGAGTCCTGTCCAGGCCAATCTGCTTCAGCGCATTCCAGATCTCAGACTCTGTAATGGGACTCTCGCACTCCGCCGCTTCTGCCGCCTCGCGGCGAGGAAAGTCGGCTGAATAGGCATCGAACTGAGCAGCGCTCAAACCGGGCTCCCTGGTAAACAGCTCCTGAAAGTAGTCACGGAAAGACTCACAAATGCCCACGCCTGTAGTCACAGTCCGCTTGTCCGGCAATGTGATGCACGCGATATGCCGACTAGATGCCCTACGAGCTTCCTCTGCACACAATGAAGCGGCCATATTCGTAGTCTCGCAAGACATTCTTTTTAGCCTAGCCCTAACTACCAGAGCTTGATCCTTCTTGATAAGCAAGGAGGTCAGCTCCGCCTTAGCTACGGCTACGTCCCCACTAACACGGGATTTGAACGCCCGATCAACTTTTGCCTCACAAGACTTTTGCGCTGCTAATCCTGCTAGATTGAGTGGTCGATTAAAATCAGCAGCAAAAGATCTAAGTTTAGATTTCAAAGAATCCCACCACTTATTCCCAACCACAGCCCCCGACAATTCTCGCTGTAGCATTAGTAAAAGCTGGTCCCGGAAAGCTTGCTCACCAATAATGATGCGTTCAATTTCCAGTACCCAGCCATCCTAACCTTAGGCTTATCTAAGTTTACCCGAACCCGGACAAGCTTATGATCCGAGTAAACTATAAAATGGAAACTTGGACATTCTAAGAGCCCTACATCGACTCTCTTAACTATAACTCGGTCGATGTAGCTTGCGCTCACCACCGAATCCGAGCTGCCGCTCCTGGTCCAAGTTCATACTACCTCCCGGGGGTGCTCACTTCGATACTTATCGACGAGATCAAACCCGTCGACAAAGTCTCGAAACAGCTTCACATCCGGATTGTTAGTACCTGCTTTTTGCCCTATACGATCTATATCGGGATCAAGGACGGCATTCCTATCACCCGATAGAACTACCGAAAAAACAAAAACGGCTCGATCTGCCGAAACAAAACAGGACATTATGCACATAGTCAATGGGTGCATAAACCCCAATGAGATGAAGAGCCTTATCCTTTATGGTAATATACAGCACGCAAAGCATGCCCGTCGGATCCGCGAAGACAAGAGCACACGCCGCATCCAGAGACTTGTTCACCAGCCAGGAAACACCCCTCGAGCGTCCATCAAAACATGCTGAATAGAGGACGAACCTCTTAGACAGAATGTTCTCATGGTCGCGAGATAAAAAATGGGTCTCCTGTACACAACATACAGCCACTCCGAGGCGCTAAGATCGCGATCGAGTCTCGCCCTTCCAGACTCCAACCCCAGGCCCCGGACATTCAAACTTGCTAACCAGAATGCCATTATCAGACCGAATTAGGGTTGGGACACTGGTTTGAACATGGTTGGGGTAAGGATACTGACATCCTCTCCCATTGACCCATGGCCCATCTCAGTCTTGATGGTACCGTCTTGGGAGATTCCGCCTATATCCCAGGGAAATGTCAGTTTAAGAGCTCTATAGGGGGAGGGGTGAAGTAAAACTGGGACCCTCCCTGCACAAAATTGTTTAATTTTTTTTTTAATTTCTCATTTTGTACAAGAGCAATCGGCGGGGACATTTTGAACGAGGCTTTTGCTTCATCGAGCATGGCCCAAGCCTGTTTAGCTCGCCTCCCAGTTCTTATGACAGTTAGTAGTCTTTCTGCCTTAGGAAAGTTTTGGAGCTCATCGATGTCTTTATCGGCAAATTGTCTAATTGATAAAAGGTACTTTAAGTCTTTTATCCTATTCCCGTAGTCTCGGCTTTTTTCCGCAGGGGATATTCTGTAAACATCTTCCCCAGGGTTGAAGATGTGCTTTTGTTTTTTTTTTATTTCCCGTTAAGTCTTGTGTGGGACTTCTAAGTCTCTTGTTGTGGGGAGGGGGCATTTCCGATGTTTTAATGAGAGAAGGACTGGGGGTGTGACGAGGAGTATAAGTTTGTCTGAAAGGGCTGGGGTCTCTACCGAGAGGGGTTGAGGGATGAGAAAAAGATGAGGATGGAGTGGCAGATAAGGTCTTCTCTCTACTAGGAGAGGTTGAGGGATGGGAAGAATGTGATGCATCAGAGGGTGAGGAAGGAGTGACCTTCTTTGCAGAGGAGGTTTTGGGCTGACTGGAGGTAAAGGTCTGGTAAGGTTGAGCTGAATGAGGGGCAATGAATGTAGAGAGAGATACTTTTTTAGTGGGGGAGGATTTTGTATTATTTTGTTGGTCCAATTTGGCTTTTAATTTTTGGATTTTTTCGTTTTTCCGTTTTCTCGTATCCAGGATAATATTTTCTTTGAAGATCTCTTAGGGTCGGTAATGAGGCTGAGGCGTCGCCCTACTGTTGACAGAGGAAGTGGGACTGTTAGTGTCTTTTTTGTTGTCCCGGAGGCTTCAGGGGACTAAGGACCCGCCGTCTGACGCTTCCCTCTGGCTCTGCCAGCAACCTGCCATTCCCTCCACAACTGCACTTGCAGCGGGAAAAGGCTCTTCGGGGAATGGGGGCTTAGGTGAAGGCCCAACCGGGGGTTTAACCACTCCGGTTCCGGAAGCTGGCATGCCCATTACAGGCGAGGCGGATTTCAAAGACGTGGTCAGAGGAGGAGTTTGGTCAATTGGGGAGATTCCGATCGGCTGAACAGTCGAAGATGAAAGACGTTTCATATTTATTGCTAACTTTGGTCACATGTTAGGCTCACAGAGGCTTGACAGATTTTGACGGAATTATTTTTTTGGTCAGGTCAAAAATCAGGTCGATGTTATTCGAACATGACTTATTACGTGACCATTTAGAAGTTGAGATTTTCTGAAAATATGTATTAAGCTGAATAAACTCTGTGATCCACTTTTTGTACAAAAATTGATATACATAAAAAAGGTGGTAGAGGGATGCTAAAAATCTAATGTTTATTGAATTTTAGGTACGTTGGTTTTACTTTTAAATTTACTGTAGTTACCGCTTGTCAATCTGATGTCATCCGCATTTGTATAAATTTGCACGTTTATGAAAAAAAAAAAAAAAATCAAAATAATTTTTAATTGAATTTAGTAAGCTTTCCCATATAGTTTTTTTTTTTTGCTTAATAATAACAATATCACTTATCACGGGGAAGTAATACAGAAATTTAAAAGATTTAAAAGTTTATAAGTTAAAAAAAATGACGATAGTGATCATTATTCATAAAACTCAAAAGCAATTAAAAGCTTTTCTAATTAAATAATGTCTTAGTTTTACAGCATTTTTATTTTATGATTCTGAGCAGATTTTCAGTAAGTGGTGGTGCTGTTTTACAATAAAGAAAAGAAAAAAAGAACAAAGAAAAAAGAATTTGATGATTTTCTCCAAGGAGTTCTGCTTAGTGTACAGTAAAACGTTACGGGACAAAATTTACTTTCTCTCTCGATTTCATAAAATTAAATAAGTAGTTGTTGTGGTGGGCTATCAGAAGTAAAAAATATATTTTTACCAAGATTTTCTAAAAGAAAAAAAAAAAAAAAACGCTAAAAATTTCCTAAAATCTTTGGTACCTACACTGACGTAAAAAAAAAAAAAAAAAAAATTCCCCAAAATTTCGAACGTTCTAGAAAGCATAAAAAATATAATTTAATAATAGAAAAAAATCCTTTTCGTCTTTCCTATTACGTAATAATAAATTTTGACGTTTAAAACTTTATTTTTGTTAAGTAAGTTGGGCATTTTTTTCATCATGGTATGCTAATTTTTTATTTTAGCGAATCAGTATAGGTAAAGTAAACTAAATGTAAGTATTTGTTTTAATTAAACTTTAAATCAGCTTTTTTCCCAAATAAAGTTTCAGGAAAGCATATTTTAATTTTAAAAAAAATTAATTATTACATTGTCAATGTCATTGTGTCTAAAAATGACTAAAAAATCAGCGATTTAAAAAAAAGAAAAAGAATTCCCAATCGATTTAAATTCGTTTTGAAATGCAGCAAAGTATTTTGCTTATGGAAAATATTGAGTTTCTATTATTTTGAAATTAAAACTAAAATAAAAGCTTCAAGCAAGACTTTTGATTTAAAAAAAAAATAATTTTAGTTTTTAAAAAAAACTTAGGTATCGCGTTTCTTTGGAAGTACCGTTCCTTACCAGGTAAAATTACTTGTGCTCGATGCATGAAAAATATGGGGAACATCTCACATCAGAATATCTGTGCCTGGTTCTACTTCACATATTTCTCTTGTGAAGTTTTTTAATTTATTTCCTGCAATAATATTTTTACATTGTTAATGACGAAGAACGAACTATTTCATATACATTGACGGATTACTTAACCGAAGCACGCAAATGCGCAGATTGAATCTTTTAAAAAATGTGTATTTTGTCCATATTAGTTATCGGTTATCTGTAGGTAAGTATATTGTTTGTTTAATTTTGATAATATTGTCTCTTTATTCCTAATGGTATCCTTAGCAAGATGGTTTGTTTTTTTTGGTATAAATCGCTTAACATATTTTTTTGATATTTTATGATCGTTAAAAAAATAGTCAGTAACAATAGCAAAAGAAAGAGTTATTTTCTAATGTTTGTTACTAAATTCGCAATTTTCAGAATAATTATAACAAAATAAGAATTATTTACTTTATGATGTTTTTTAACTTTGAAATTCATTATTAAACCAAATTTGTGTTAATAAGATTTCAGAGCAAGTTTTTTTTCCTTTGATACTGATTTTCGGATATTGACTTGAAATTTATTTTTTAAACAGCATTTTGTTTATTTAAAGTGTTATGCAAAAAACATGATCAATAAAAAGTGAAATTCATTTTCCCTGCAGTTTTTTTGGCTACTCTTAGCTATGTGTCAGAATTCAGAAAAACTAAAGAGTAAAAAGACAATAAAAACAAAAAAATTGTTTATTTTGTACTGAGAAATTATTAAACTGATTAAAAATTAAAAACGTATTAAAAGTACAATTTGAATTTCATAAGCGTTTCTTCGCCTCTATTCGAATATAATCAGGAAAATGCTAACAATTAACACGTTTTTTAATGAATTTGAAAATATTCACTTTTTATTCAAACAAGCAATGTCTAATTAATTAGTGCTTAAATCTACAATTAACGTTTAGTAGTGTTTAGTTTATTTGTTATTAGTGTGAATGAAAAACTAAAAACAGGACATTAAAATTTAACAGTATTACTAATATTTCTTGAGATTTTCATTTTTAACTCTTCTTAAAAATGAAAACGTATTATTCAGCTTTTTCGTGGAGAATATCAATGAATTTTGTTTTTATTAGAATTAAATATAAATTACTACTGTTTTAAACTCGAAATGCTTACAGTGATAGGTTTTTTAACTAAACGTATTTTACAGTTTTCCTTGGCAAAAACAAATGAATTGTTTTTCCTACTTTGATGAAAATTGAAAAGATGTTCTTTTTCACCTTAAAAAACAAGGTAGTTTTGTAAACAAATTATAGAGAACTATGTAGATTATTGTATAAGATGTTAACTTTTTTTAATTATAATTTTTAAAAAAGAAAGGCACATTAATTAAATCGATTAAAAAGTGTCAATTAGGTAAAGAAAATGCCCCGGATTAATTCAGAAATGAGTATGCAATATCGCCCAACACCGGAGATGCATTTTTAACTATTTCTTCGATACACTACCTATTTTCTTGCCAATTTCAGGGTACGTTCATAAACAAATAAGAATTAATTCTTTGAATTAGAAAAACTCTTTAAAATTTCACAAGAGGACAAAAATGTTTACGTTTTTATCACTTCCACTATTATTCAAATATTGTTACCTACAATTAAAGACTAAGTCTGAAAAACGTAATAAGTGTTTTCTTTATTAAAGTTAAATTGTGGTTTTATTCGAGAGATAATAGCCTAGGCTAAAGTTAATCCGTAAAAAAGAAAAATTAATTTACGTTCTTAAATAAAGATTTCAGACATTTAAAACTAAAAAAAAAAGTCTCTTCGCTCACGTCACTTCGATTAGCGAAGTTGATTGACGTCGATAAAATAGAAATTAAACAATTTAAATCTCTCGGTCAAAAATCCAACATCTGTTCCATACATTTTTTTAAAAGAAAAGTACTAATTTTAAGGATTAACTTTTTTAAATTTCACTCCAACCAAGCAAGGCGGGCTTCTTACTGAGATGGAAAAAAAATCTGAGACAACGTTACGAAGAACGGAGAATAGGATTCAAGAAGACAGAAGATTGTGATTGATGTTGCATTTATTTTAACTCCACGAAATCGCTAAAAAAAATAGCATAGCATGATGAAAAAGACGCCAAACTTGACGAAAACAAAATTTTATCGTCTAAATGTTTAGTTGAAGAGGAAAGACCAAAGTTTTTTTTTAATTATTTCTTAAAAAATGTTTCCTTCTTTTTAGAACATTCTAAATTTTGATTAAAAAAAACCTTGTTTCTCTTTGTATCACCGGAACTAGCAAAATAACATATACAATTTTTAGCAGGTTTTTTTTTTTTTTTTTTGTATGACACATTAATTTGGAAAATCATGCAAAAATAAAAATAATTGTCGGATGTTAATAAAACTTTCAGAAACTATTCATAGATGATGGAAATTATTATAAATGTTTTTTTTTTTGTTTTTTTTTATTAAAAAGTCATGGCAGAAATATTATTTTATATTTATTAACCCCCCGCCGTCCCAACTAAATTTATTAAAACTCTAGAAATTCGATCGAATACAGTTTTTAGTGATTAAAATAAAAGCTTTGAGAAATGCAAATCATGTCTTTTTTTTTTTTTTTTTGTTTGTTTTAATTGGACTTCCTACCTGAAAATCAGCTCTGAATTGTAACATACAAAACTCAATAAAATAGATATTATTTAATTTCAAATGCTTTTATTTGCTTTTATGAATATGGACAATATTTTCTGAAGGCAAAACATTTTTTCGATGAAAAATAAATTTTTAATACCATTATTTGTTATTTCTTTAATTATAATAGATTTTTACATTTAAGTTGTTGAAATATTATAAAATTAGTTAAAAGCCACATGTAAGTCTCCTTATGAGATAGATCTTTTTTTTCTTCTTTTTTTTTTTTTTTTAGCGCATTGTAAATTGTATCGTTTTGACTAAAGAAGACCCGCAGTAATTAAGAAATATAATTTTGTGTTTATAATTGGGCTTTAATTATAAAGTGCGTAAGACCAACCAGAATACAATTAAGTTGTATTGTTTGAGGTAAGCATTGTTCTCCACTGTTAAGGCCTTTACTTTTGCGAAACCCGTGTGGAAATAATTTGATTTTTCAATTTCAACTGAGAAGGGTACCTACAAGTATCAGTATCAATCTTATGAAATGTATATGATCTTATTTTTATATTAATCTCAGTTATGACATTTTTCCATAAATGAAATATCAAAATTAATAAAAAAATGAGTGGAAATACAAATAGTACAGTAAAATGTAATAAATATACATAAAATTATAGTATTTTATGTACAGTTCTGATAAAATTTCATAAGAAAGGTACCTATAAATTAATTAGATACCTTTCTTATGAAATTTAATCTCACTTTTAAAAATTTTATTTTAATTTCCTTAATTATATATTTTTCGTAAAGCATTGTAAATGTAAAGGTGAAAGCTAAGTACAAAAAAAAGAAAATTAGAGTGCTGAAAGTTTTCCTTAAAAATAATGAGATAATTTGTTCACTTAAATCTAAATAACTTCACTTTTCTCCTTCCGTAGAACAAATTATCCTCACGTAATCCGTTAATATGTCATTCATCACCTGTCAAGTGACACAAAAGGTTATGACCTGCTTTGTTTTATTTTCAAACTACATCTTTTCAGCGCAGAAGCTTCATTCAAAATATTTTAAATAAACGTTATAATTTCTGATTTTCTTAAAATAAGTTTTGAAAAAATGATAATTGTTTTTTAAAAGAATTTCAAACTGAGATTTTCATTTTTTTTTATAAAATGGAAAAAAATGGATGCCATGATTGATTATTTGTCAATTTTGCTGACTCAAAAAAAACAAGATTTTTAATGAAAATTTTGGATGTGCTAGGAATGGTTAAAAAAAATGTAAAAAAATACCCCCAAAATACTTTGATCTTTCTTCTTAATAATAACATGAACATTTAGATGATAAAATTTTGTTTTCGTCAAGTTTGGCATCTTTTTCATCATGCTATGCTCTTTTTTAGTGATGTCCTGGAGGTACCTACATTTAAATATTTGAAGATCCTAGGTGACAAAGAAGCAAGAAGTTGGAATAAAGTTCCCTAGGTGAGAAGTGCAAGAAAAGAAACTATTAGAATAGAATTTACAGTTGCATATTAGCTATTTCAACAGTAAAACAATGAGGCCTAGTTGCCAGTCTAATACTACACTTAAAAATTTATATAGTTGAGGTACTAAGGAGAATTCATTAGAACAATTTCCATGAAAATATTTGTAGAAAAGGCACAAGGAAGCTATGTTACGGTGGTGGAAAAGTGATTCCAGGTCAGGACTGATAACATTACAGACCCTTCTTTTCATTTTGTCAAAAATCTTTATATATATATATATATATATATATATATATATATATATATATATATATATAATGAAAAATATATTTTAAGGTGTGCTATATTTAATGGGATAAAATTATTCAATTCAACAGATAGAGCATATATAAATATAAATTTGAATATTTGAAGTTTTCTCAAATATCAGGCTGTTTTCATACTAGACGCAAAACATCTTAAAAATGAAACAACCAAATAATTGAGTTTTTTTTTTTTTTCACTTAAAATATATATATATATATATATATATATATATATATATATATATATATATATATATATATATTTTTTTTAAATCAAATGTGGCAGCAATATTCAATGCATGGAAGAATGGTAGATTTATAAATGTATGATGGAAAATTAAAAAAATATTCTTGCATAACACAGTGAACCAACTTTCCAAAGACTAAACCTCGCAAGTCATCAATATAATCTCTATTTTATATCAGTGGAAAATGATAGACTGATAAGGTACAATGAGTTGGTGATGGAAGGCAAAATTGGGTCTATAAGCTGACTAAAAGATAACAGTAGTTATCAACTGATTGGAGGTCAAGATCAGCTGCGAGTTTTATTTAATGAGACATATTGGACTTACTATTAAGACAGCAGTAAATAGTTTTTATCAGCATAAATAATGAGAACTGATGACACCGAGAAAGTTATTGAGGATAATAGAATTCTGGGGGACACTTACATTAATGTGAAAGGACTTACTTTCAGCACTATTTTCATTACATGATTTATTAAGAAAAATTGAATCAAATCTAAAATTTGTCTGGAGACACCATAGTTCTCCATTTTGTGAAAAAACCAGCATGCCC